ATGAGTTATCTTATTACGGCCGTTTCTTTTGATTCAAACAACTTAAAGTACAATTAAAATCTCTGGTGTATTCGTACAGCCAAAGGGCTTCGATCTGATATATCACTGTTCATATTATGAAGTTTCTTTAAGCTTCTTGATTTTGCAGAGAACAAGACAACTGATCCATCCATCCCTTCCCCCGCTTGAAGTCGAAATAATAACAAATTTGTGTACTAAAATCCGATCATAAAAAGGATAGCTGGCTACTGTGCAAGTAGCACAGAATGTTCCGACCAGCCTTAAACAATTACAACAAAACTATTTTTTCAAATTAGTGTCGTTTTTTCGGCGTGGTGTGATAAAGGAACTGAGCGAAAAAGTAGAGCTTAGGCATTTTAATTATGCAAATTGGAAAACAATTGTTGACACAGAGGCGAAGTTGCACTTCGCATACACAAGCAAAAATATGACCGATAACGCTACTGGGAAAAACTGAATGAGTAAAACTTGGAGTCTAGAAAATTTATTAAGTTACGCACCCCAATTATGAGTCTACATAATTGCTAAGTGATGCAAGCTAGTAATGATGCATTAGCAGTACCAGTCAACTTAAAAAAGAAAAGAAATTTACCAACTAAAATGCCTCAATTTATAGAGCGGACGCATTTTAACTACTAAACGAAATAGTTCATTAAAAACATCTGACTCTGCCCAAATTCGAACCCTCTTATTTTGTTGCAGGTCTCCTTCCCTACCTCTACACTACAGATCCAGGATACCTTGAAGCTAAAAAACTATTTGTAATATAATAGTCTGTGTTAATATCCTTAGCATTGGCTATACTTAATTGCTGCTTATTGATCAAAATGAACACTTTCAAAATGAACACATTTTGTCGCAACAATATTTGCGACATATATTAAAAAAAAAAGATAGACCACACTATAACACAAGCTTTGCTTGTATAAAAACACATAAGAAAAACCAAAAAAAAATAAAATATATATTTTTTAACTTTTCAAAAACCGGTTCCCAAAATTTTGATTCTAAAATGAAGCTTAAAACTCCAAAAACTAATTCATTTGAGTAAAATTTAACTTTCAACACTTAAATTAAGCATAAATGAGCGAATGTAAGCCTGCTCACTCGCTCGAATTTAGACGAAAAATCAAAAATTTCAAACCGGTTTTTCTCGAATCTGGGAAAAAATTTTTGAAATTTTTTTATGTCGTTGGAATTATGACTGGAAGGGCTTTAATCACATGTTTCACTCACCCCAGTGCGATGACAATTTGTGGTAGCTCATTTTGCGTGAAAAAAAAAAGAAAAAAACTAAAACAGGCCCGAAAACAAAGTTTCTTCCATTTTCAATGGTCGGAGCAATAAGATTCAGAAAAACAAAAACCGTCCATGAAAAATTGAGAAAATCAACCCTAACTGCCTCAAGATCCAATTTTTGAGGAAAAACAGCTTTATGAAAAAAAAGTTTATAAACTGTTTATAAAAACCTGAAAACACTTCATATCTTAGCTTAGACAAATTACGGATATTAGAATGAGATCTCATATCTGTCAAAATCTCAAAAAACTAATGGAACTTTCAAAATCACCCCTCGAAACGAGGGCAATTTTCGCATCATTTTAAGATTATTAGATCGTTGAATGAAAGGAAAATGGTAGTCTGTTGGGCAAAAATGGAGAAACACATTATTTTTTCCTATGTCTGGAACCGAATGACTAGTAACGCGAGAGATTAATCAAACTGACAAAACTCGAATCAGAAACAAGGATAGCCGAATACTATGCAAATAGCACAGAATGTTCTGAGCCTTGTCTTATCATTTTTTTCGTGTCGTTTTTTCACGTGGTGTGATAGTACGATCTGAACGAAAAAAAAAACTAAAAATTAGGCATATTCGACAGCCATATTTGAAACTTTTTTGAGTTTTTTATTACCAAATGGCACTAACTTTAATTGAGTAAAATTAACGGCTTAAATCGACTTAAATTAGGCTGAAATAAGCTATTGTAAGCCTGAAAACTTTATTTTGACAAGCCTTATTAGCTCGAAAAAAATTGATTTCATTCGAAACAGACTGGAAGGGCTTTAATATGATATACTAGCTCATGACTCGCACCTACGGTGCTTCAAATAGATAGTTGGACGTAAAAAGAGCTTCCTAAAACAAACTAAAACAGCGATATTAAATACAATCGTGAATTTTATCTGTGTTCATCTATCAGGGGTTTCTATTTCATAAAAACGCATATCTCGAAAACCAAAATGGGATCTTGCAAGCTATTTGCCTCATTTTAATTTTTTTTAGCTATTCCCCTCCCCCTATACATGTATTATTTTTGACAACCATTTTTGTATAAAATATGCATTTCAAAAATGTCAACAACTAATTGGGTTATCATTTTCTCACGTTCGTAATTGTATTACTCACAATTTATCGAATACCTACATGAATAATTTTAATTAAAAATACTTTCTGAAAAAAATGTTTTGAACTATTGAAAAAGTGGCAGCCAAAGTTGAATTTCTGAAAATCGAACTAGGAAGGTAAGGGGCGGTAGTGTTGGGGGAATAGTTAACAAGATCCCCAAAATGATTTGGAAAGATGAAATTGGAGGGCACATTTGCTACCCTTTATTGTCCTGACAGCATACCACCATAAGGCTAAGAAATTCAATTTCTATCGCATGTTTTTAAAATTAAGTTTTTCTGAAAAATTATTGAAAAATCAAGAAAAAACGACATATCTAAGAAACAAAAAAAATGAGCGGCAGAAGTTAGAGGCCAGATTTTCATCCTGACAGTACCCTCTGTATGAACCCTGAAAGAACCACACCATCAAAATTGAGAATTTCAAAATCGGTGAAATTTTTTTAGTTTAATTTTTTTGGAAAACAAAATCAACAAATCATAAAAATCGCCACATCTCGAAAACCAAAAGGATTTGAGCAATCATATTTGGAGACGGATTTGAAGCGCCGATGTCTCACTGACAGGACACCGCCTTAGGGTTGAGAAATTGAAGTTATGTTAGTTTTTTTTATATCTAAACTTTTTTAGAAAAAAAAATGAAAAATTCATAATAAAAAAAGGCCATATCTCAAAAACAAAAAGGTTTTGAGCAGTCATACTTTTATACCAGACTTGCAACTCCTGATTGTACCTTGACAACACTCCACTATACAGTTGATAGTTCAAACTGTGTTGAACCAAAAGTATTTGAGCAGTCACAGTTAGACGCCCGACTTGCAACTCCTGAGAGTACCTTGACAGTATCCTACTATAGGCTGAAAGTTCAAGTTCGGTTGATGTTTTTATAACCAACTTTTTTGAATTTTTTTAAATCATAGAAAAAACGTCATATCGTGAAAAGCAAAAGGATTTGAGCAGTCATACTTGGTCACCAGATTCGCAACTCCTGGGAGTACCCTGACAGCACCACAATAAATGAGAGTTTCAAGTTGGTCTGACTTTTTGTACATACATTTCTTTGAAGAAAAAAAAACGAAAAATCATAAAAAACGCCACATTTTGAAAACCAGAAGAAATTGAGCAGTCATACTTGGACGCCAGATTTGCACCCCTGAGTGTACCTTGACAGCACCCCACTATAGGTTTGAGAAATTAATTTTCGATTAGGTTTTTAGATCTACATTTTTCGGAAAAATATTGAAAAAGTCATAAATAACGCCATATCTCGAACCCCAAAAGAACTTGACTGGCCATACTTGGACGCCAGATTTGCAAACCGTTAGTGTACCAAGACAGCACCCCACTATAGGGTTAAAACATTAAAATTTAGTTAAATGATGAAACAAATATTTTGATAGTTTTACGTTGCAAATATAGGAAATGTAGAGTTAAAGCATTCGCGCTCCAACAGATTTTAAACCGTCGACTTGAGTAAACAGTCCAACCCTTGCAATGATTTAGTCTTTTAACAGATCAACTTATAGACTTCTGAAAAATACGCCAAGCATTACAATATACCATATAGTTTAAACGTGCAAAAATGCTTTCGTTTAACATGCTAAAAATAATACGTTGAAAAAACTTGAAGTCAACACAGGGACTTCTCAAATATGTGTCAGGTGAAACTTCATTTAAATAACGGATAGATAGATAGATAGATAGATAACTCGCCCCATTCCGATGATTATTTGTTGTACCTGATGTTGCGTGGAAAAACAAAAAAAAACTAAAACACCCAAAAACAAAGTTCCTCCACATTTTTCAAATGGTCATTACAAAAATGCTTTGCCAGCCGTCCCCTTGGATAATGTTTTCATTGAATACACGCAACGCTCTCTCCGAAAAATTTAAGACTGAATTATCGCGAGTGATAAAACGATCCGATAAGCTATTTAGTTGGTTACCGACTGTTCATTCCACCGTTTAAAACTTCTAACAAACTTATTGCCTCTTTCAATTTGAATCAAATCAATTTTAGCTATTTTCTTCGAGACCAAAGTTTCTGGATGTGGGAAAAACCTGTCATTCAGAAAGATAAATAAGGTTTTATGAACGCAGTTTCATGTTCATTCAAGACATTGCTAACGGACAGTTGAAGTTTTAAATGATCACTTGATTGAAAATCAAAACGAGTTTTCACACATACACCGGTGTTTCGGAAACTACCATCATCGCTTAAAATAAATTGAGCGCATTCATCATTATGAAAAGGCGCAAATTGTTACTCGTAATTTCATGCGTCGAAAATTCACTTGTAAAAAAGCTTCATCAGTCGAATCGCCAAACTAAAAAAGTAGAGGATTTGAGCCACTGTCTCCGCTGCGTTTAGAAACCCTTAATTATGATTTTTCAATTTTGTCATTTTCGATTTCACAGAACTAAGATTAAACATTACTACTTGATTGACACTTGCTTTCATTTTGATTCCACACAATTTCATAAAGATGACTCGCTACGTTTTGAGCTTCTCTACTCTTTCGATCCCAATCTTTGAAGATACTTACACACCTGCCCTTGATGAAAAAGCCTTTAATTGAAAGATAATTTATTGGAACAAGTTGCTTTTTGCAATTAATTGACCAATCAATGAGCTCACTGACAAGAATGAGTAACAAAGCAACGAGGACTATAACCTGAGGACTAAATCACTCGAAGTCCGATGAGTAGTTTTGGCTAGTTTTGTCTTCTCCCTCGAAAACCAGTTAGTTGATTGCATTACAACAAACTGCGCTCTGTTCTGCCCCCACTCGAACTGGTCTACTTCAGGTCTCTGTCTTCTAGGAACCTGTACTCGAACGTGAATCCTTCCTTGCGCCGCTGGGTCCACTTTTCATAGTCGAAATAAATATAACTTCCCATCTCGCAGTCGTCTGTGATCGTCTTCGGCTCCTCGTGTCGCTGGAACCACATCATGTACTTTGTGTGAAACCTCCACGACTGTTTCTTCAAAGCCTTTGCAGCCAAGTACTGCGCTTCGGTGCCTTCTAGATAGTAGAATATGAAGAAGAGTGTCTCGGTCGCCAGTCGTTCGAAGAACTCGACTGTATCTGAGTTTGCCAGGGGTTCTTTCGGGTAATAATTTGGCGTCGGGCATGGGTTCCGTGGCAGGTAAGGACGAAGGCGTTCCGAGTCACTGGCATGCGGCAGGTGTTCGAATGCCGCTTCGAGCATAGTCTGTTGGTACATGTGCTCTTTTCCCAGCTTAACTGGACCTAGTGGAGCAACCCCTAGGAGTGGTGGAATGTTTGTTTCTGTCCTGTACTGCTCGTCTTGACGGCGCAGCTTCTCCAGATATGCGGCGTCAGGAACTCCAGCAATCGTGCTTATCGTATCTTTCATATCTCCAGGACTCATACCACTGTTGTTTTCAGTCGAAGGAAAGGGACTTTTGTCTGTTGTTCCGGTAGTGCCAGTACCAGCACCAGCTGCCGAGGATAAATTAAGCGGCATACCATTCGCTCCGGATGAGAACGGAAATGAGTTTATTGCGTTGTTTCCGTCTCCTCCGTGTGAAATTGTCGAGATGGATTGCGCGGCCGAGTTTCCGTGAGGAAAGTTGTATCCAGCTTGGAATGCCTTGCTCAATTCTTTCGTGTCACCTAAATGGCCGGTAGTAGACATTGCTTGGTATGAATTGAAAGAATTAGCGACAGTATTACTGCTAGCTGCACTTGCAAAGGACAGATCGGACTCTAGAGTAGACAAAGTATTTCCAGACGACACTGCCAGGCTATCAATGTCACTGGATCCCGTTGAGAACTGAGAGCTCAAAGAGGGTGGCATCGGGAAACCAGATTGTGCGGTACCTTGCAAGGATCCGAACGCATCGATTCCCGTCACGTTCGAGTCTTGCAAGTCTGTTTGAGGCGTCGCACCTCTTTCGCTGCTGGCAGACGACGTCGTTTTTTGCTGACCTGCAGTTGTTGCGGAAAAGAGCGTCGGAGTGACTGTCGATGTTCTGGCAGCATGGTCGTTGTTTTGCTGGGAAGTTGGATTTGTATTGGAACTCGCAACAGCCGAGTAGCCGGTTCCTGCGGCCACTAAACTGCTGGGACCTTTTCCACTAGGTGTGGTAGGTCCTGTCAATCCTGAGTGTGGGCTATAGGGTGTGGGTGCTGGGCTGAATATTTTGTTGAGGTTCGCGGGACCGACACTTGACACTGATGTCGTAATGGACCCTGGACTTGTTGGGGCATTTGTTGTTGTTACAGTTGGCTTCACAGCTGTGGGTTTGTGTATGCTGGTGCTGGAAATATTGCTTGAAGCTGAACTATTCGAGGTGTTGTGTTGATTCATATTAGCTGACGGCGACGAAGAAGTCGCTTTTGTCGGTTGACTCGCAGCGTTTGGTGGAAACGACATCGCCGATGAGCTCGAACCCTTTCTCGGCGATGGACTTGTGATCTGTGAAGTTATCAGGCTTTCATCTTCTTCATTTTTCGAGGAATTAGACACAGCACTACCAAAATTTTCGGCGCCTGTCGCTGGAATAGAATCAGGCGTGATCTCAAAGTTGAACGCTTCAAAAACACTGTCGTCCTCTACGAAATCAGGCTCTCGACTTCTCTCTATGTAGTCTTTCAAAGTATCTTCAATAGTTCGAACTTCGTCTGGTTCCACTGAGTCATTTTCTAACATTCTTTTCAACATTTCCATCTTATTAATGTAGAAAGTATGTCTTGTTATACGTCCAGCTAGTTCTTCCGCCTTTTCAGCTTTGTCTTTGTCTTTCTTTTTGTTCGTCCTTGACTTCAGTTGTTCAACCTCGGCTTCAAACTGTTCTACTTCCAGGCTAATTTGGTCGACCATCTCAGACAGACATTCTGACATTTCCTCTTTAGCTTGTTCACGTGGATCTACTTTCGCTTCTTTTCCTAGACCTTCTTTACTGTAGGCCTTCGTCTTTGTATCTCGTTCCATGACCTTGAACCTTTCCATATGAGTCTCGATTAGTTTCCTTGCGTCTATAAGAGGTCTTTTGTCTTTGATGTCGTTGGACTGCATCCACGTTTTGATTTGGTCCCTTAGCCTCTGTAATTTTTTGATCTCTTTCTTCAGATCGGCTTCGAACTTCTCCTTCTGGTTGGTGTTGGTGGCATTCTGCACCTTCTGCCAGATCTCCTCAAAGTCTGCCGTTCCCTCGTGAACTCTTTTCAGACATCTGTCAATCTCCGCCTGTAGTTTCCGCTTGTCGCCCATTCGCTGTTCTTTTTTGGCTGCTTTTTGGGAGAGGGAAGAGGGAAATAAACGCTCCAAAGCGGACAAAATCAATCTGCAATACCACTTCGCATTTACTAGATGCTCTCGCAAATAAACGCAAAATCCACATCTCCATTATTTTGACAAATATTATTATTCATTAATTAATTTTCTACAATGAAACTATTTATAAATTGAAACCCTATTGATCAAAACTTCACAATATAAGATCAAATCTAAACAAAATCTATAAATCATGCAAAATTATCAAAGTCGACCATTTTGATCAGTTCATTCGGAACTAAGATGAAAGCTAAATCAAGCCACCTTTTTAGTAATGGAAAAATTGTTGTGCTGATACTACAAATGGAAATATGTTTATTGTTTTTATTCAAATTGGTTTTTACCAATTTGTTGAAGTTTCTTCTGATGAAAAAGTATTTTCCATCTCCGCTTCTGAACTACTTGAAGAAGAGCTACCAAAAGTCTCTTCAGTCGTGTTCGAGTTCGATATTGAAATCTCGTTTAAATTCAGAGGTAAGTGATGACTCATAATTTTTTTCATTAATTCTTTCTGCGTGTTGTCCACTTCGTACTCTTCATCATCTTCGTCTCCGATGACGTCGTCGCCTAGCGATGTGCCGTCGTACGTCTGTGTGTTCGTTGGAGAGAAAGAGGAAAACGTCTGTGCTTGAGAATTAAAGTTGTCGCTTTTGAGATCCACGTCTGAATTTAAGTTCTCCAAATTAGGACTTCTCTCTAAACGATCTCCAAAATTCAGAACAGCAAACGAATATACCGTTTTACAAGACTATTTGAAATTTTGAAAGGCTGGTTGTAGAATTTGAAATAGATAACAGGTCACAAGGACCCGTTGGCCTAAATCATCTCCAAACTCAGTTTAGGAAGCCTTACGAGTTTCAAGTTAACACTGAAACTGTCAAACTTCCAGTCAAGAACGTCAACAGACAAGTTCAAACATAGCCAATCGAAGATTGGAAAACAGTAATGAACGAAAGTAAACATGAAAAAAACACACTGACTTTCTTGGAAAAATCTAAAATCGAATTTAAAAGAAAAAAATAGATGCCCTTTCAGCTCTTTGAATTTCTAGAACAATTTATGATTTCCACTTTTTTGATAACATGAACCCAACGTCAGAAAATTGGAACAACAGGTAAACTTTTTATCCCGCTTGAAATCTAAAAATTAAATTCAACTTTCAAAACTAGAAATTGTTCACGTTGTTTACGCCATTTACACGTTCGTATTACTACGACTGCTAGTTACGTCACTTTCAGCAGATGAATTTCAATTGCAACTGAAAAAGTGCATATATACCTAGGTGCATTCATAAATGCATCAATATGAATGAATGCACATCTATAGTTATTAGAGACTTTGAAAATTTTTCCCAAAAAAATCAGCAAGACCTATATAAGAGTCTTCACTGCGTTCATTACTCTTAAAAAGGAACAAATAAACGACACCCAAAATTGAATTTTTCTGAAGTCGCATGTGACCCAGCCAGAACCAATCCCAGACCTTTGTCATCCAAAAATGGACGTTAACTTTTCATCATGTAAAATCAGATTCTGCTCCAGGAAAAAATTCTGTTCTACATTAACACAAAATCGAAGCGAAGCACAACTCGCTATATAACAAATAGAGCAGGCAAACTGTCGGCAGCAAAGTAGTGAAAAGCCGCTAATTTGAAAAAATAGACTACACCTATTAAATTTTCATGTTTGTCTCGATTTGTGTTGAATGAACTGAATTAACTCTAACTCTATCGGCTTCTTCCTCGTTCAATTCAATTCATATGAAACGCAGGTAAGATTATCAAAACCGTTTGTCCTATTCTTTTGGAGCTCGGCAGTATTAACTGCTTTTTGAAAATATAACTCTACTGAACTTAAATCACGTTATATTCGCAAAAACAAGCAAAACGAGGGCTAAAAAAGTTCGAAACAAAAAATAAAAAGATCTTGAGACAGGCCGCGACTAGGCCCAATTTGCGAGTACGCCCAATAAACCATTTGAGCTACTTATTTGTCCAAACAAGGTCTGGATTAAATTGAGATCCGGGGGTTTTTCAGCCACGCTATGTCCGGCACTGTGCTAGCGCCATAAATAATTCTATACTAGAACCGGTGCTCTTAAAAACAAATAAAATGTTCATTCAATGGTAACTGCGATCGAAAATGGGTTAGCCTATACAATATGATATTCACCGGTTTCTGTAATTTCCAAGTCCACGTCTTCTTCTGACATAGCCTCCTGCAGTAATCTCGCTCCAATAAAATGTCCGTTACCCCTCTTCTGACTAGGTGACTCGCCAACTTTAGTTTCTCCGTCACCCGATGGTCCCGGATTCTCATTGTGTTGACACAATTTTCCTGACCTGTTTGACAGTTTGCTTAGATCGTTCTTCGAAGGCAGACGATATGAAGCTTCCAGGGTGGACATGTTGAAACAGGGTTCTTCAGCAGTCACTGAAGTAAAATATCATTGAAGGTTGAGTGGATCAGAGCTTCGCACCACTTGCGATACCACACACATAGCATTGCAAGCTAGCATACAGAAAATGAAACAAAAGTCACTAAGTCGGAACACAATTCGAACACTTGAAAAACCATACCTACAAACGAATTTTCAGAAACTTGTTTTGAATGATGTTCAAATTGCAAACACAATAACTGGGGTTTAATAAGTAATCAGACACAAAAATTGATCGGCAACAAAGCCGGCAAAAGTTGGTTAGACTCCCGTTGAGCAAAACTGTTTTCAATTGAAAAACTTTTGACAGTTCCGAAGATCTAAATTTTTACGCTCCCCCCTCCGGAAACACACAAAAGCGTAAAAAATCAATTTTTCCAATAAAACAACGCTTAGATAAGTCACTTACTGCATAAAACATATTCAGAAACAACTGAAGCCAAACAACCAGCGAAAAAAACGAAAAAAATTACAAACTTAGTAAGCTTACAAGTTACAGTAACAAATCAAAACTCTTTCAGTTACAAAAAAATTACTTACAGTCCAGCAAAAATCCGTTACAAGGTAACTAAGCCAATTAAACATAAGCAGACACAACAGACCGACAATTTTTCGAAACAGAATACTTTTGAATAAAAAAAGTTCTGGCCTGGTTCGAACACAGGATCTTTACCACCTCAGGCGTAGTATTTTTGTCAAACATCATATGTGCCTGAAAAGCTAGTAGGGTTTGATTTAGATATTAGCCAAGCTATCTTATGTTTTTCTGTAAAATTTTGTTAAACATGAAAATTCCGTCATGGGGCAACTAAGCCGACAAAACATAATCAGACTAACATTAGTCCGAAAACTCTTTTGAAATTCAATATTTTGTCTTCAAAACTTAAAACATTACTTCTTAAAAGAACTGCCAGTAGTAACAGTAGACCAGTGGAATTTGCACGTGAATGAAGTCTAGCTATTCAAGTGATTTTGTTAAGCAAGTTGTTAACCCGAAAAAAAACTCGATATTCAGTTTGATAACGCTTGCTTATCGCAAGCGTAACCAGTAGTTTGATATAAATAACACTGAGACAAGTTTTCGAGAAAAGTCAAAACGTTTCCGAGAAACCAGCCAAATTTCAAAATTTTTCAAGTTCAACTTTTTCATCCAAGGCGATAGCTTTTTTAAAATTGTTTTTGACACCAATTGTGCAGAGAAAATTCACAACGGCTGTTTTTCGATGAAACCCTCAACCTCATATTCGGTAAGGTCGTTTTCGAGAAAAGGAAAAAATTTCAAAAAGTGTTCAAACTGTCAACACTCTTTAAGGCCATAAATCTTTTTCTACAAAAAAATATAGCCAACTGACAGTTGGAAAAGAGTAATGAATGCAAGTAAACAGAAAAAAACTTTGACTTTCTTGTAAAAAAGTCGAATTTCTAAACAAATAGCTCTTTGAATTTCTGGATTAATTTTTGACTAGCGTGTAACTCAAGTTTCCAAATACACGATCGAGATCTTGAAAATTTTTGAATATTTTTAAATCTAAGTTTTTTGAAAATTTTTGAAAAAAATTAGAAAAAAACGTCATATCTCGAAAAATATAAGAATTTGAGCAGCCATATTCGGAGGCAAGATTTGCAACCCCTGAGCATACCCTCAGAGTTTTCAACTACACGACAGAGATTTTCGAAATTTTTGAATATTTTTAAATCTAAGTATTGAAAAAATATATATATAAAACGTCATATCTCGAAAACTGCAAGGATTTGAGAAGTGAGATTTAGAGACAAGATTCGCAATCCCTGAGAGTACCGTGACAGTACCCAACTACAGGGTTGAGAATACAAAGTTTTATGAAATTTTTCAATTTCAAATTTGCTTATTTCAAAATTGATAAAATAATCCTTGACATCAAACTGGAAAATCGAAAAAAAAATTCTTAACCATTGCAATGTACGATATAGCTTAAACGTGCAAAACTTCTTTCGATAAACATGCAAAATTAATACGTTCAAAAAGCGTAAACATGGCGAGATAGTGAAGCCCGCATTAAAATATATATTATGTGGCAAAAGTAAAATATATATAAAAATGTAAGTTCCACTTTTATGAGCACAATTATTTGCAACTTGTGTTGGAAAAAAAGTGGATACCGTTGTGTTAATACACCAAAACCGAAATTACCCGTTACTTATATATCACCAAATACTTGTTGAAAAACTACCTCTGAAGGCAGCTGCAGTTACATCCCAGCCCATGTCATGGACAGCTTCCGATCCATACTTCCTCTCTATGGCTTCATTCTCCCTCATCTTCTGCTCACCAACCCTGTGACTCATCACAGAACTCAACTCACTCATGATCTCCCTCTGCGACCTCATCAGTCTCTTCTGTAGAGTGACTTGATCCTCTTCAGGGTGGAAGGTCACGCGCCCATAGTTGTCACCGTGACCCAGAGAAGACATCTGCTGAACCATTGAAATATAAAATCCAAAATCGCTTCAATTTATGATCTCATTTTTTTACAAGACCATTTACCTGGTTGAACTCATTTAAGGCGTCCTTTCCTAGGAACACATCATCTTCCGTCGTCTCCCTTGATGAGGAAAACTGGTCACACTTCAGATTAGCTACATACTGTCGCTCCATCGTTGTGACATCTTCACTTCTAGACTCACCGCCCGTAACGCCTTCTGCGCTTATTCCGTTCAACTCCATCTCATTTTCAACTTGTTTTTTCTTCTTTCGCTGAAGAAGCTGCAGATTCTCCACACAAGAGATAGCCGCTATTAACCTCTGAGTAACAATCTCCAAACTTCGTTCATCTGTTTCGCTTTGACGTTTGAACTCCGAAGCCAGTTTTGCTATTTCTTTCAAGTGGATGTTGAAGCTAGTCAGCACCGATTTCCAATTAGATCTCTCAAAGGACTCACTTGACATAGACTGTTTTCGCCGACCACTTAGGCTGTCGACGCTGACTTCTTCATCCTCAAAGTCCAGACCTAGGAAAAGATCTTGGACAAGGTCCAGTTCCTTTTCTAGATTCTGGGCAATGGACAAGTCGTAGTTGACAATAAAGGACTTGAAAACTGAGAAGAGATCGCTGGTCACGTTATCATTTCCTGCAAAGATAGGTTATCACATGCTTCAAAATCAAAAATCTACATTTAACCGTTTTTCGGTCTAAACTAAAACATCGTGATTAATGCGTTCATTATTTCGACCATTTGAAATTTTTCAGATTCAAGAAAACAATGGCTACATTTCCTCAGAATAAGTCTCCTCTCTAATAAATATGATTGAATGTCTCGGTACAACTGACCCGAGAAGAAAGAGTGAGCTAGACTCAGTACGATACTGAGGTAGAACTCCGTGACCAGTTCATAGTGTAATTGCACAATGGTTTCCAGCTTAGAACAGTGGTCATTGCCAGTCCCATCGCTGCCATCCGGATTGTCCTGGAGCGTCGTGATGACTTTTTCAACGTCCACTGATTCACACAGATGGCTAGAATAGGTCACCATCTTTTATTTAAAGTGGCAGCAAAGATGAGATACATTTCAGTTACCAATGAAGTACAATCGATTGAATGTTACATTTTATCCAAAAACCAATTGTGGCCGTGAATGGTCCGCAAGTTCTGGCACAAACAAGTAAAAGACCACTAGATAATAAAAAGAACCTGGTTCTCGAATGTATTGTAATAAGCAAGAGAGAACTAATCTACACAACGCACACGTCAATGAGTTGTACACACTCTCTAGGCAGTTGAGAACAGGAGTCCTGACAAGCGAGGATGTCCATGATGAGCACCTCGGTGAGACTGCGGAACAGGGGCACATTGGCTTCTATGGCTCCGATTTTGACCTACCAATAACTTTGGAATATAAGAACCGATATTGTCGTAACCAAAGTCAACACAGGCAAATATAAATGTTACTAATTCAAATGAGAACATTGATAGCCGGTAGTTGTGAATGTAACACAGAATGTTAAGACCACAATATTTGATGCTATAAAATTGAACACATAGGCGAAGCTGAGCTTCGCAATACTTGCGATGCAACAACCATAGTATGGCACACTGGCCAACAGAAGCTCATACTTCTAGAAAAAACTAGTTTCGACTTGCAATTGACTTGAAAAAATCATAACAGGTAGGACAATTTCCAGTGCTAAATTAGCATGGGTGCAAAATGATAGCAAAGCCGACAATCTATGAGCAAACTTGTTAGGAAAAGGAAACGTGTGAAAATGGAAACGATGCAACAGATTTAAAGGTTTGTTAGAATATGCATGGATTGTGGTTACTCATTGTTAATTGATTACAAATTTTCAATGTTTTTGAAAAAGCTTCAACTATTATTAGAAAATTTTTGTGGTTGAGACCCAACAAAGTTTCACTATTTGTGTCCATGAAAATAAATGATGATTCTGTGATGTCCGACTGCTTTAAATGAGCAATTTGATTTTAAATTAGCAACTTCAATTAATTTCAATCAGAAAGCTGAGCAACGAAAAATTGTAATAAAAAACTTTAATTTAAAAACCATCATATTGAAAAACTATTCAAGTTGAACCGAGGGGACTTCAATTCCAATCTGAATAAGCAAACTTCCAGCTTGGGATCGCATGTTTAGATTTTTTCTTCCGACCATTGAAAACGGATAGGCACTTTGTATTCGGGTGTGTTTTAGTTATTTTTTCCACGCAAAACCAGGTAACACTAATAATTATCGGACTGGGTTGAGTGATATATCAAATTAAATCCCTTTCAATCGTGATTCGGGCGTTGAGAATTTCCGAGTCTCGAGAAAAATCGGTTTGAAATTTTCGGTTTTTCGTCTTAATTCGACCGAACAAAGCGAGCAAATATAGCTGATTTTAATGGCTTAAAAGCTTCCAATAGCTTTATTTACACATAGGCGAAGCTTCGCTTTGCCAACACTAGCGAGAACACGACAAAAAGCAACTTTATAAAAAGCAATAAGAAAAGAATAAATAAGCCTCGAATTAGCAAAAATGCAGCTACGGCTGATATTCCAATCTGCGACCGTGAGATAATGAGTCATACACTCTAACCACTCAACCACGGAAGCTCAATAAGAGATAAAAGACTAAACACTAGCCACAAATAAAGGAGAGAACAGATGCTATACAATTTCCAATGCTAAAGTAAGTGAGCACTTTTAATGAAAACGTATTTTTACAAGTTAGGTTAGAAAAAGGTTCTTAATAAAATGTAAAAACGTAAAAAGGTAGTAAAAGGTAAAAACGTAACTAGCTAGTTATACTCATGTAACCATCACATCAAGTTTTTGAGTATTTTAGCGCCATTTTGGAATCAAAAAATTAGAACGTTCAAAATTTTTTTTGTTTTTCTAGTAGTTTTTATTCAAAATGAATTTTTCAATTTGCTCGTTCTACTATGAAAATCCAATATACCTAACCTGTAGTTTTTCATTCAGCTCCTTTTATCACACCACGCCAAAAAAAAACAACAGTAATTTGAAAAAAAAAACTTTTTTCTTGTATTTTTTAAGACAATTGTCGGAACATTCTACGCTACTTGCGCAGTAACCAGCTATCCTTGTTTTATTGTGGCGAGCCTTTCTATTGAACTTAGCTATTGAACAAAGGGGTTTCGAGAACAATTTTGAAGAATAGCTCCAAATTGCTCAAAAAAATTCTACTCGTCCAAATAGTGAAATTGCATTCAAAAATTATAACTTATTTAAAAGAATTGTCGATGTTAAAAAATGTCAATGTTAAAAAAATATTTAAAACATTTTCATGAAATTTCAATGTTATTAATATCTAACCTGACTGGCGAGTCCTCTGTGAGAGAAATTGAATCCGGAGTTGACATTTGAGAAGTCAGACAGATATTGCACTGCATTTTTAATGCACAGCTTAGAGTGCTCTGAAACAGCAACGATGAAATAGCAATGAAACAACTCACATGAAGTGTGCCTAAAAAATGGCGTTGCGCATGTATCTCATTAATAAAATCTTAGTCGGTTGAAGAAAATCTCTTTCTACTATTACCCTTACGTGATAACATTGTCGAATATTCGCCTGCCAGACATACTGACACAAATGCAACGTCGCAATCGCAAACAGCATGGCAAAATATTTAACAAAAATGTCAAAAAAAGGTGCCTAAACAGAATTGAACCTGAAAAAATCAGGCGATTGACCAAGACCAGAAAGGTGTGCATATCAATATGCATTTAAGGATCTAACAACTGACCTAATGATGCGATGAGAGTTGAGACTAAGTATGAGAGTCTAAGGTAATAGAAGAACTTGAAGATGAGCATGAGGAGGTAGAGGACAGTGCAGGCGGCCAGGAGAACACTGAGACCAATCAAGGACAGCTGCAGTGGAGTGTGATACTCTTCAGGCAGGAGGGAGAGAAAGGAAACTGTCTGAGAGGAGGCTTGCCAACCTGAATCATTCAAAAAGAAGACACATTAGCCCATGGCCCGATAATGAATGATACACAACTTCGTCTTCAATTTTTATTACACTATGGTTTCAAAAAACATCTTAACAATCTTTTTCACGTATCATAACACTAATTATGAGAGCATAGTTAAGCTTTTAAAACGCTTGAAGACTTTGTACTGTTTTCTATGTTTTGTACTGTTTTCGAAGACTATGCTTGTTTGCTTTCTAAAATCTCTAAAAACACTAGCTATAAAAAACAAGAACCTTTTAATCTTGATCTGGTAGCTGTCATCCTTACTTCATCAATCGTGAAAAATGATTCGCCGAATACAAAATAGCCAACACACGAAAACGCCAGTGAGGATAACACCAACATGAAGCATATCTTCAACTCTCGCACTGCAAAAACACTCGGACACCTCGTTTTGATGTAAGCCTTTTTCAAAGTCATATGCAGCAGATCTGAATCCTTCTGCGATACGAGCTGATACTTCAAGCATGTGTCAATCAACCTCCAGTTTAAGTAGTTTGACAATGAATTGATTCTGAAGCTATTTTTCTTCGAATAAGTTTGTGTCTGTTTACTAATCGTTGGACTGTCGATGTCCATTAGAGATTCTCGACTTGCTTTTAGAGATTCTTTGCTGGCATTTTTACTATCTACACGCCTTCTGAACTTGAACTGAGGATTTGCTGTGGAATTATTTCTGTGCCTTAGAGATGATGAAGTTCTGTTTTCTTGCAGATTTGCAGTAGGAATATTAAAGTTGTCATTGTCTGACGAATCTTCATTTTCGGTGCATTCTTGAAAAGCACTCATTGTAATATTTCCTCTAATTCTGCCCATGGTAGCGCGGTTTACGTTAAAAATGTGTCACAATAATAAAGATAAGAAAACATTTTGAATGGCAATAAAGTTTTCCTTTTTACTGTATTCATTAGATCTAAAAATGAAACGAATGAGAAACGTCAACACAAACAAAACACTTCACAAAAAATTATGCGGCGAATAAGGATCTATTAAAAAATCTTTTCCACAGACTTCTAATTAATCTTACACCAAGTATCCAAATTTCGGTTTTTTCTTCGGTCTGTCCTCAAAATATTTATACTCCTTCAGAATTTTTGTAATTTCATTGCTATATGCTTCTTCTTCTGTCAAGAACAGCTCGCTGTAATCTTGCCTCCAAACTATAGCTCTTCTCTCGGGGTCTATTTCATCTTCATGCAACGCTATATGCTTGCTATACTCTACCGTGTTCCAAATTTGATCCCATTTTTTGTCGATATAAGTATCTTTATCATGTCTAGTATACAAATCAGGGTGGTACTGTTCAAAGTATGAGATGTCTGCATTTCTTGGAAACTTTTCATAGGGTGCAACATAAGCTGGTGGACTGTCCCATTCGAAACCCGGTTCCCTTAAGCGCAGAGTAGAATGAAACGTCTCAGTTACACTTCCATCCCACTGAGCTTGGAAGAATGACAAAGACATCGGCGTCATAACCTCTTCAAATTTTTGACAGAACTTCAAAGTCGAAAAAGTTCTACGTTCCAAAGGACAATCACTTTTGAATTTAAAAAAATCACCATCGAAATGAACTCTTTCTTTATGATGAAACGCAAGCATAACATATCTATGAAACCCCGTGCCTCTGTATGGTATAGGCGGCAAATACGGAACTAATTCCTCCCCATCTTTTGAATTTTGGTTAGACTTGATATTAGAAACAGCCCAGTGAATGTTTTCAGCCTCGGCGTCAACTAGACTGCCATCCGGGCAAGCCATAATTAGAGTCCAAAAAAACTCTTTAGGTTCGGTTCCGCTACAATCCAGTCTAACTCTCGGCTTTTCACTAGTTTGGGTTGGCGTCAGAATATTTCCATAGAATACTCGTATATCGTCTATAAATTTTGTCTCTAATGGAAAAACGTTATTGAAGTCGGCTCCTTGGAAAAGATCATCAAACACTCCATAATCGTGTATCAAAGACTTGATTTGAGTATGGCTTTCGAGAGCAACGAACTCTTTAAAAGCTTCTTGAGTACTTACAGTCAATGTCCCGAGACGTGAGTTTTCCTCAAACCATGCTACTTGCTGCTCCGTTCTTTTCGGCATTTCAAATTTTTTAGGTTTGACGTTAAAGCCAATATTCAAGGGAACTCCCGACTTCGATACATTTTCCAGTTCGTTAGGCCTGTTGATCCTGTCGGCTGGGTGAACTTTCATGTCTTCGTATGACAGAACCCGCTTTTTTGGTTTGGGCTGGAACTTCTCTGCTAAGTAGAAACTTCGGCTGGAGGTCACAGGCAGAGCACGATATAAAATACAGTTAAGCAATTTCTTTCGGCTCAAATCCATTTTATTAATGATAATCAATTCATCACATCTAAAACAGTAAAACTAACGTCCAAATGAACCATGAGCCCTCAATAAAATCATTTCGCTAGCATAATTGAAAATGATTGCTAATACAATAGGAGAAATTCATTAAGATAATACAGTACTTTCAACTGAGCGAATATAATTTGCTCTTTTCTCGAAAAATCTAGATTTCTGTTTATTTTGCTCCACGCCTCCAATTCCTCTCATATACATTTGGCGACCTATGTCACAAGAAATCAACAAGTTCGCCTGGCATCCAATTTTAGCTAAATCTAGAGCATCTTTCGACCAGTCGTTATTCACGAGCATGTAAGTCAGTGCTCGGTCACAACCCTGGAACCCTTTCCTAGAGCGGCACGCAAAGAGGAAGCCTTCGAGTGCACTTTTTGGTATAACGCCGCCTGAAAAACAAAACAAAACCGCTTCAACGAGCGTTTCTAGATGAACATATTTGCAAAACGAAAATCATTCATTTTCAAAAACAATTTTAAAGCGTTTATTGAATGAGGTAATGACCAGCCTATTGTAAAAGAAATGATCGAATTTAAGGTTAAACTATTTCTTATCACAAAAGACTATCAAAAAAGACTTTACCATTTTGTTTGGTAAGATATACTCCATAATTGTAGCAGGAAGTAGCGAATCCATAATCGCATCCCTTTTTCTCCCACGAAACCCAGTGCTCTTTCGACATTGGATCTTCTTTAGCTGGCTTGTCTGATCCATGTTTCGACAGCATCAACGATAATCTGTGGCAACTAAAACATGCTGCTAAGTTATTCGTCAATTCATTATACACCGTTTTATCGAAATATTTCCACATTATATATCTTACAAAACTCTCCACGCACAGAAGCGATAAGACCAAATAACCATCCCACAGATTCTATCAAAACAGTTTGTAATATTATCGACCTCGATTTTTTTCAAGGACCAGCAAAACTCAATCAGAAATTAAGAAGATAATCTCAGCTAAAAGGTTTGAAGAAGATAACAATATTGATGCGCAAGAGAAACACGATACTCTGAGAAAACTTTCCACAATAATCGCGGTGCAAATCTCAACTCTTCTCTTTTGAACAGAACCGAAAATAACGTTTTATTAAGTTATTTATTAATTTTTTTCAATTATTGAGTTCCTATAAAAAAATTTTTAACTTTCAAGACTAATGAATTTTATGAATCTATTAAAATTGACATTTTTAAGGGGTCTTTTTTGCTGCACGGCCCGAAATTCACCGTTATTGATGTTTGGATCACTGAAAATTGGATCATAATGAGTGAACCTGATTGATAAATCATTTACTACAAAAAAATCTGAAATTCAATTTTAAGCATGAAGTTCATTTTTAACGCTTTGCTTATTTTAGGTCGTATCACAGAAAAGACTGTTATTTCATGGCACTAAGAACAATTGAGAAGAGAGGCGAAACAAAGATATATGCCAGTGATCAGGCGTTAAAATCTGATGTAACAATGCACCATGCATATCAAACTTTTTCCAAAAACAGAATACTTCAAGAGTAGCCATAATCCAGTCATTCTCTAACATAACTATGGTCGTAAAGGCTCATTTGGCAGACGCAAACCAAGCAAAAGAACCATTTCTGAAAAACAAGAAAAATCGGGGTTTCTAGCAACTTTTTTTTTCAATCAGATTAAATAATGGTTTTAAAACTTGATTACAGCAAGCTAAATTCAAGACAAGGCTACATTCATTGCTTTCATGTGAACATTAGAAGAAATCACAATTATTTGATTGTCACAACTCATACATTGCAACCCAGTGTGCTTTTGTTCGGATTTTCGATAAGAAAGTAACGGAATATTTGTGCTCGGGGTGGGGTTTTTTTTTCAGACAAAATTTTGACTTTTTAATTAGCCATTTTTGACGGGATTTTTTTATCATTCAAAAGCTATTGTTGTCCTGAGCTTAAATTTGAAAAGATAATTTACCTGTGATGATTTTTCGTAAAGTTAGGGGGGTTTAAAGATTGCCATTTTGGTCAATTGGGGCAATTAACGCGCGATATATTTCGCGCTATTAACGCGTAAGCGGAGACTCAATCCATCTTAGAAATTGTTCCAAACAGTTTGAAGGAAGCTTATTTTCCATAATTGATTTTTTACTGAGAGCAAAACCTATCACTGCGTACTTTATATGGCCTGTGGCGGATGATTTTCAAAAAAAAAGAATTCAAATTTTAGAAGAAAAAAATTTCATTTTATTTTATTACATTTAATTTTCTTTTAATGTTATTACTGATCCATAAACCTCAAAAGGCAACCAAAACATTCAGGGCATCGCCTTAATACGAGCAGTCTTGTCTAGAATTAAGAAAAGCGTTTGATACCGTTGACTACAAGCTTCATTTTGAACAAATGTTAAGATTACGGTATAAGATCACTAGCATATGATATTCTAGTTTCAGTTCTATCAGAGTCTGTAAGCATCAATGACTCTTAGCAAAAAAAAATCACCACCGATGAAGTTCTCAGAGCATCATAATCTTAAAAGAGCAAACAAAACTAGAGATCAGCTCTAAAACACCAGAGTTTCAAATTTTACAAAAAAATTTAAGTCTGAAAAAATATGAAAATACATTGACGAGATCAAAAGAATGGTAGGACGAAAGCGAACTGACTTTGAGGATAGACAAAAACCAAAACAGTCAGATTCTCAAAACGGAAAGAAAAAAACTACTACTACTACAATTAAATGAACTACAGAAACATAGATTAAAAGTCCGTTTTTTTGGGTTTTCTTATCACGAGAAAAACTGGAACTCAAAGATCACAATGAAGTAGTTGATAAAAGGTAATAAATTCATTGGAATGATTTGTCAATTGCGCAAGATTCTTAATGAACAGCAACTGAACCAGTTTTTACTTAGCAATGTTAAACCTGTTATTCAATATGACGTATTAATATACGGGTCGACTTCAAAAGCAAACCTTGACAAGATTGATCTCAACATTAACAGATTAACTAGTGCCTTAACCGTCAAGAACAAGTTTGGATCAGTATAATTATTGCTGGAAATAATGTAAAAGAGTTTCGTTTATACAAACTCTTAAAACTTCTATGAACACAGAATCGCAATGAAAGTAAATCTGTGACTCTTAGTAAAAAAAATCACATCCGATGAACTTTTCAAAGTGCATCACAATCTTACAAGTGCAAAAACAAACTAGAGATCAGCTCTAAAACACCAAAATTCTCAATAGTTACCAGAACTCAAAAACTCTTCAACTGTCTCACAAATCCTTTTCCGACTTTGTTCAAAAAGATTTGCTTAAAGAAACGGAATGAAATTAACAACTTTTCTACAATCCTAATTAAATCATTTTTTTTCGCACTGAGAGACGTATGAAAACAGGCATAATTTATCTAAAGACGATCTTCCAGACTGAGTTCATTTAAATGATCATTTAAACAAATTAAATTGATCAAAGTGAACTTATCTTGGAAACCCCTTTTAAATGTTCGAAGCAGAGGCGAAGCTGAGCTTCGCATCACTTGCGATACAAAACAAGAAAGCCGCTAAGTCGATAAAAAAATTCGAAAAAAAAAACTTAACCTATCGAAAGATATCAAGGCTAGTTTTCAAACATAAACGTGCCCAGCCAATAGAATGGAAAATACGCATCGAAAGAAAAACTTATCAAGCGGCAACAAAGACGGAAATACCTTAGCAGAAACCCTTAAAGCCGAAAATGATCGAAAAATGAAATAAGTCCCCCCACACACACACACACACACACACACACACACACACATACTCATACACAAACTTATTCGCGCATCAAATGAAACAATCTGAGGCTACTAAGCCGTTATAATATTGGCCGAAACCTTTTCAGCCAGAAAAAAAAGAAATAGCCAAAAAAAGTCGAAAAAAATTAATACTAATAAGAAGTTATCAAGTCCCCTCTCCCGCAAAACACATGCTCGTAAGAAACTTATATGAGGCCAAAAAACCGATATAATATAGGCCGAAACCTATCAAGCTGAACGTAATGAAAAATAAATGAAAATTTTTTTTTAACAAATCGAGTTGGTTAAATTACAACCAACATAAAAAGAAAATTTTGAATAGGAGAGACAATTTCGAATAGGACACAAAATTTATCTGTAGCGGTTAAATTGCTGCTAATAGGCATCCAGTAAATGAGTCGAGATCAAAACAGTCCTGTGAACAAAGTTAATTACGGGGAAAACTAGTACCCCATTGCAATACCCCTGTTTATCGCAAGGGTAATTATTACACAGAGGCGTAGCTGCGCTTCACAAACACTTACGAGAACACGAGCCTCACGCACTATCCATTCAGTCACGGAAGCTTAACAACCGACAAACACTAATCACGAAAAAAGCAGCTGCATATGCTAATAACCTGCCAATGCCATTCCGCAAAAGTGGCACAAATACAAATAGACTCAATTTTGCATGTAATAATTTGAAATATAAAAAACTGAAGGCATCCACACCAAGTTTGCATGAAACAAATCGCAAAGCATAGAACCACATTATTTCAGATTATGAATTTCAAAAAATTACGAGATATATTGAGTTAAAAAATTTCTGAAATCGAGTTTTTTATTGTCACGTTGTTTGAAACAAATAGTTTTTTAGGTTCATTTGGTGAATTAAAAATGCATCAACTGTGTTAAATTATTACTATTCGAATGTCACAGCACGTGCTATCAAAAAGCTGTAAGGTGCCGCATCATAAAGACGCCGCACCAATAATTGCGACTTAAGTTGAAAAAAAGAAGCTTCGCAAGTGTAAAGAGGAGAACGAAAAGGCAAATTAACCTTTCAACAAATCGTCTGAAAGTTATGCATCAAAAACAGCAAAAATTCCTAGATTTCAACAACCTCCATCATTCATTACAGGGATATACTTAAATTATTTATGACAGTGAAAATTGATTAAATCACAAAAAAACGCAATTATTTAAACAATTTTTTACACCATAAAATTGACGCTCGTGTGAGCTAGGAGGAGCCTAGTTCGCTCTATCTTACATTACAATTATCATTTGAAGATGGTCCAACTTAAATGGTTATTGCTTAATTTCAAATTGATAGCAAAACTTTTTTTTGATACCTTTAGGTAATTACCAGAAAAGCCGTTAAACAGCTTTAAATGACAAAAAACGCCACTAAACTGTTTTCAAATTTAATTTCCATTTTTAAAACAATAGAAACCTAACGCCATGTAAGCTTTCGCAAAATAAAGCGAAAAGATGAAGCGAGTTTAAATCAGCTACGAAAATCACTGCCCACCAACCTATGTCCGTACTTTCGTTTGTCGCAATTTTCAGCAAACAGCTTATAGGCAGTCTGCCTATCTTCCTTCACTGTATTGTAGAATGCTCCTAGCCCATCACATGCGAATGCATCTTGTTCAGCGCTACAGTTGTAGGTGTATTCGAGAAATAGGACTTCTAATGAGGCTTTCACGTCCTCTTGTGTGTTGTAGATACCAGTTGGCATGGTAGTGTCGAAGCTCAAATCATTTCATGTCTTGAAAATTAAATAACAAGGATAGCCGCCTGCTGCGCAAGTAGCTCAGAATGTCACGATCACAATTATTCCAGTTAAGAAAATCATAAATCACGAGAAAAATCTGGACACAGAAGCGAAGCTATGCACTACTTGCGATACATCACAAACATGACATGTCATGCAAACCGACAAACAAAAAATTGTGAAAAAAGTTCCTTGAAAAAACGTTTCTCAAATGAAGTCTCGATTGAACTTCGTTTTCAGGAAAAGATGTCGAGAAAGGCCATTGCTAAGAGTAAAGCATTGAATTAAAATTTATGAATTGGTAACCGAAAAAAAACTTGTGTAGACGCCAATTAAGCCAAAGAATTTGGCATAATAAACTTCGAGCTACAAAAAAATTCAAAACTTTCAAGACTCGCATACCCCCAGCAAAAACCAGAACGAAAACAAAAAATTTCCCTTCAAGTGACACAACTTGAGACAAAGAATAGCCGAAACCTTAATTCGAGTGAACGGTTTAGCCAGCGATGTACGTTTAGAAAAAATAAAATGTAATTAAAACTTTTCAGAAAAATTACAAAAATTGTTGACATCAATTTCAATTTTTCGGAAACTCTTTAAATATTCTAGAGCAATTTAAATTTTTTGGAAGTCTAATAATCAGGCTTTTGAAAAAGCTCGTTCTGCGTTGGCCGAAGATGGCATCAAATTCAGTATAGTTCTCATGATTTCTGCCAGTTTTGGGTAGTTTTTGTGATTTTTAGACAAGAAATAAAAGCAGTTTTTGCGGGCAAATCTATTTCCAACTAAAATTGATCATTTCGTCGGCATGACTCAATTTGTTAGCTTTTCCTGAGGTATCCTGAAATGTGAAATTTATGGACTCAAATAAACTGTCAACCGGGTTCATAGTACTTATATTAGAGTTTTCAATTGGCGCATTCGAAGTGTCAACAACTTTGGCGTCGGTTCGAACCCCGCTCGTACCGCGATTTAACTTTTTTCGATTTAAGACTCGTATTTCACATAGAAATTTATATTAATTTGAATTGTTTTTTTAAATGGACATCACTGGGTTTAGCACAAAAAAAAACAGAAAGGAATTTATAATACGTAAGAGTTTTTAACTATTAAACTATTTCGGAATGAATTCACGACATTCTCAAAACATGCCTGTAAAAAGACCTTCACAGAATTGACTAATTCTAACATCTTATCATAATTGTTCATGAAAACAAGGATAGCCGGTTACTGTGCAAGTAGAATAGAATGTTCCGACCAGTCTTAGAAAAAATACAAACAAAATTTTACAAGTTGGTGTCGTTTTTTTCCTGGATGTTGTGATAAGAAAATTCTTATAAAAATAGAATTTAGGCATATTTGAGAGTCATAGTAAAACAGGTCTATTGGAAAACAACAGGTCTATTGGAAAACATTTTTTGAAGAAAAATTACTAGAAAAACGAAAAAAAATTGAAAAAATTTTATATCACATGTTTTTGCAAAATTGTTTTGAATTTAAAAATTTTTGATTCCCAAAATTGCGCTCAGAAACTACCTTTATTTGCATGAAACTAGGTTTTCACGCCTGAAATTAAGCTTAAATAAGCTATTGTAAGCATATACGGTCACCTTATTAGCTCAATATTAGACCAAAAATCAGAAATTCCAAACCGGTTTTTCTCGACACTAAAATTCAAAAATTTTTAATGTCGTTCCAATCACGACTGAAAGGGCTTTAATATGATAAAAAATAATAAAACTAAAACTTACCCGAATATAAAGTTCCTCCCCATTTTCAATGGTCGGAACAAAAAGGCTAGTTCCCGATAAGAGTAACTGAGTAGACAGACCATCAAAACAATTTTAAAAAAATTTTTTCTTTTTTTTTTTTCATTTTTCGAATTAGAGTTTCAGCAAGAGTTAAATAACAAAAAAAGGCAGTGGAATTAAAAACAAGAGTTAGCTCAAACTGTCATCAAATTTTGAGTAATTAAGACTTAAAAGAAAAATTTCCACTTATTCATTCAACAAAAAAAAAACATTTTTGAATTCATTAGAATTAAAATCCCAATCAAGAGTGATTTATTATGATCTCTTTTCGGACATCCGAACGATTTCCTTGAGACACCAAAAACAGAGGCATAGAAACCCACTTTTTACAAAAAAAAATATCACGTTGATGCTCTTCGAATTTCAAGAATCTTCTATGAGTGATATTTTTAATTATATAACTGACCACATATCTAATCAAACAACTAAGTCAAAAGGTACATTTCTATTCTAAAGGGAAATAACTCCTCTTTCTAAACTTAAAGTACTTCTTAAGCCATTTGTCCTTTGTTATCGCAGAGCGTAACCTTCTTCGATTTACAAACAAAAAAGAACTGAATGAGAAATCAGTTCATTTGTCGAGATTTTTTCAGCTGTTGATAGGTACGAAAGATCACGAAGTGCTCGTTTTTCGACCGAATCGCCTTAAAAGGGCGATTCAAATTCAATTATAAATTTTGTTTTAGATTTGTCCTCAAATTATACAATTTTTATTTAGAATTGTCCTCAAACAAAAAAATTTCGTACTCATTGTATGGGCTTTTCTCGTATTTGATGCTTTTTAACTTCATCCAAAATATTTCAAGCAAGCGAAGAAGCGGAGCTGCACTTCTACTTTAAATTAAAAAAAAACTTGAATATATATATATATTTTTTTCATATTAACGAAAAATATTTTTCGAAAACATTTATTTACGCTGCGAGTTCAGTCTGACTACAACAAAAGTTTAGGATATAAACCTGAGCGAGTTTGGGCTTACGCAACGCGGGCTCGAAGGATAGAAACACCAGTGACTGATGTTATATTTCTCTCTGGCAATACTAGGGTGGGTAAAAAATTTTCGAGCTCTTTTGAACGGCTTTTATTTTACAAAAATGAATATTTAACATCTCAGCTCGATCATGACGTATAATTTTAACTTACATTTTTCATATTTGGTATGATGGCATTTTAATTGTAGACATTGAATTCTAGACTAGTTTACATTTTGATGTTTGGTATTGTGGTATTTAATCAGGTATACGTTTACAAATTGTTACTCACTAAGTTATAGTTGCTTCTTTTTGCTTCCCAGGCGTGAAGAAAAGTAGACATCTCAAATGAAGTCTGTTGGTGATGGTTGTCAGCAGTGATGTCTTTCTGAAGTTCGATAGCGATAGAAAGGTGGAATGAATAAATTCGCCACGTGAGTCACACAAGGGCTTCTAATACACTTAAGACTTGGTAGTTTACAATTAAATCGCTTCAACACGATTTGATTACAATAAATGACTGAGGACGGCTTTTTGGAGGTCCAAGGTGATAAATTGTAGATTCATCGAAGTTTATTACATTTAGTCGTTTTGAAAAACTCTGCTAGCAACAATAGCAGTTTCTTTCAAATAGATTTCGGGTGAGGTGATTCTTCCTTTGTGTCATCATAAAACATGACAGTCTTTATTTAGATTTATTCCTTTTCCATCTCTAATTTTAGGAAAGATGGTACCTTTCTTCTCACAGAAGCGAAAATATGGTACAAGGCAAAGAAGAGTATATGAATTCCAGTCGATATAATGAAAGATAAAATGCTCATCATTGGTGATTGTTTAAACGGTTGATAGCTTTCAAATTGTCGAACAAGTGTAGATGTGAGTTTTTTCATGTTGTTTGCCATTGGTGCTGGTGTTTCTTCTAAGTCTTTCTGTGTTGGTGATATAGTAGTTGTTTAAGTTTTCACATGTCTTAAAATTTCATTAATAGCATCTGTTTGTTGATTGTAATTTAAAATTTCGTCTAATGATTACAAAACGCTAAATAAGTGTTGAAGTGGATCTGGTAGTTTAAAATTTAATTGAACCACTAGAATTTTGTCACAAGGACGTAGGTCGCTTCGAACTTCAATATTGACGCCCAAATTTATTTTCCACATCCGAGTGTTAAGATGCAATGTCTACATCCTTTCTATTCACGCACTTGTTTTCGAATTTTAGTATGTAAGATTCGATTGTTAAAACTTCATTTGATGAGAAAAAACTCCATTTCCAAGATTTCTAGCTTGTTCTCTCATAGGTAGGAACACTTTTTCAGTTTCGCATTGCACAATTCTGCATTACATCTATGGTCCTTTGGGGTGTTATGTCGCTAGGCATGATACATATCTTTTTTGTCGCCATATTTTAGTGACATAATTGGTATCGTGAGGATCTAATATATTTCTGTTACTCATCTAATATATTGTTCTTGGTGTCAATTCCCATCTCGTCTTCTGAAATTGACAAGAACGGTGCTTCAGTTTTCCAATGGAGAGCAATTTATAGTTCTGATTGAAGTATTCGAGTCGGGAAAGCCCTGAAAACAGTGAAGTCAGACTGTCTGCTGGCCAGCGGGATGGCAAGTGCCATGAACAGTCTTTCAAGAAACGTTACTGTGTCTTTGACAAGTTCAGCTTCATAGCATAAAAGAATTTCGGTTGGAATAGCTTGTGACAACCTATCTTGTGAGCCAACTCGATCATTCGCTACAATATTCAGTAACATCGAAAGCGATTCTTTTGAGACAATTAACATTTGAAGTTGACGTTTTCAGAGCGTAAGTATAGATGTCATGAAAATTAGTTTTTATGCAAAAAGTGCTGATCGATAAGCTTTGAGGCTAATGTATCCAAACGCTAGAAAAGAGGAAAAATTGTCGAAACTAAATCGTATCTGCTGTCGTGAGTAGAGAAGTTGACCACAGTATCTTCGGACCACTCCTATCAGCATGCTCTATAACAGACTTATAGCCCTAACAAAATTTACGGTTTAGGATGTGCCTGAGCAAGTCTTTTTCACTATCTTTTTATAATGCTTTCAATTTACAACAATGAATATCAATAACCTCTCTGCTCGGTCATGACAAATTTCAAGCACATTTTTGTTCCGACCATTTGAAAAATGGGGAGGAGCCTTGTATTAGGGTGTGTTTGTTTTTTCTTCTTTTCATATTGTTTGAAACAAATCACTTTCTTCGGTTCATTTGATGAATCAACACAGAGGTGAAGCTGCGCTTCGCAAATACAAGCAAACGAGAATGCAACGAGCTCTAAACAGGCAAAAAAGTGAAATAGGAAAAGATCAAAAACACACATTGAAAATTTTTTAGTTGAAGTATCACTTTCTCACATCTGCTCCACGACGACTTGTAATTTAACTAACACTAGCCACCAGCAAAAATTCGACCAAAAAATACTTGAATGCTCCAGATATGAATATCCGACCTGTTGATTAGGAATCTGACGTCCTCGCATCTGCGCCAAGGTTGCTTGCAAGTAAAATAGTGGCCCAGCTTATGCTGAATCTACCAGTTCTAAACTTTTAATCATTTTTTTTACTGATATGGAAATGCGTAGTTTTCAAAATTTAAAATAATAGACTTCACGCTAAACTTAAGTGTTCTCTGCTCAAGTAAACAAATAAGCGCTTATTTCAAGAAGAAAAATACTACTGCCTCTTTCAACTGAAGTCTTTATCTCAGATTTGGCTGGATAGCTTTCAAAAAACCACTAATGTCCGATTTTGCACGGTAATTTATTAGAAGCGAATATCCGCTTGAGAAAGGGATATCCCAAAATTTGTTCTTTTGATTGCAACCATCATCTCTGACTTGTGCATTCAATATTTGAGAAAGTGAACAATTCAAAGGTAGGCAAAAAATCCCCCTACTGAAAACTTCGAAGGCCGTAGAGCGTGAGTTAAATTTTAAAAAAAACTAGCCATATGCAGGCACATAGAAGAGCAGCCTGTTTTTTCATTGCTACCAATTTTTTGAAAATCGGTTCAGTAGTTTTTGAGGAATATTGAAGTTTCAGCGAAAAATGCAAAAAAAGTTTACAAAGCGTAATACATGTTTACTCAAATAGGATCTATACATGTTTAGTTCATTATTCATGTTTAATCAAGTAGGACCTAATTCCATTAAAATGTTTATGCTTAAATAAGCTTAAGTAAGATTAATTTGAAATATCGCTTCGCAATTTGACGAAGATATCACAATTGCTCAAAAGACAAACCAGCCAGTCAGGTCTGCGTCCCACCCTCCCAACCTTGGCATGATTTTTGCGTAATTTTAGTCTTAATATGCGCACACTCCGGCAATTGTGAATGGATTGTAGGGCAGCTGAAAACGCTTTCGCATGACAAATGCGCCCTCCGGGCGCTATTTTAATGCTCAGTCAAAACTGGACATGATGGCTTAAAAAAAACAACAACGATTTCTTATTTCCGATTTTTGGATACTTTCGAGCCGGATGCTTCTCTACTGGACCCTAAGGGGCCCACAGAGCATCCTACAAGATTAAAAAAGTTTTAAAAAAAATTCGTTTGACTTATTTTCAGATTTTTTTCGTATTACTTTCAGCAAATTCATTATCTTTCACAACAAATCAAGAAAAATTGCGGCAGCTTACAATGAATGTTAGTACTTCAAGCTTTCCATCTGGCTATATATGACCTAAACTACTGAAGCTAATGTAAGACGGATTTGAATTAAAATTTCTTTTTTTTTCACAACAAATTTCGGTTAAACGACCAAATAAGAAAGTTATAAGAGCAAAAAAACTCCAAAAAAAGAAGCATTCAGCGTTTTTGATATCAGAATCCATTATTTTCAACTTTAAAAATTTTTCAATTTTCGACTTTTAGATGACTGCCTTAAAAAGTGAAAGTTTAAACTTTTCGCTAAAGCAAAAAAAAGTATGCCGAATGGTTCAAAGCATCAAACCACATTTCTTAGGCACAAATAGAGAGTTTTTCTTGACCAACGCTGAAAAAGTTACTGAATTAGAGAAAATTGAAAAAATAACTTTTTGGGTTCGTTGGGAAAAGGGCGAAAATGACCAAAACCCATCTCAAAAATAAAACCATCAAAAAGAGGTATTAAACAAACTGCCATTATTGCAGGGTTCTAGGGTCGCATAGAAAAAATTAGGGAATTCTAGCGGGTAGTTTTTGAGCACCCGACTAATTTTTTTTTAAAAGTAGGAACGTTAAACTGGCCAAAGTCAAATGTTCCGAGGGGGCCCCTACCCCCTCTCAATGGGTTTATATAGCGTCGTGGCACGCGCACATAGAGATAACCAATTGTATCTCGCACAAAATGATGAGAAAACTTTTCTGTATAATTTCAAACTAGACGAAGGTATATAAAAACCAAAGACAAGGAAAAAAACTCTAAGTTGAAATCCCCCAAAATTCAAAGAAAATATAAACCAGAAAGAAAACCTTGGCAAACCTTATTTGAACAAATTATTTCATTTCCAAAAAAACTGAACACACACGCATACGATTACAAAATTTCACAAGAATAAAAACCATTGACACAGGCGAAGTTGAACTTCGCATTCACAAGCAAAAATATGACCAATAACGCTACTGGGAAAAATTGAATGAGTAAAACTTTGAGTCTACAAAATTTCTTAAGTGACGCACGCCATTTATGACGAATTAGCAGTACCAGTCAGTTTGAAAAAAAGAAATTTACAAATAACATGCCTCAATTTATAGACCAGTCTATGGAGCAGTAATAACATGAAAAAAATTAAATGTGAAAATCATCCCTCTACATGCCATATTAAGTACAAAGTGATAAAATTCGCTCCTGGTAACAAATCAATTTGGGAAAATAAACTTCCTCAACCAATTTTGCAACAATTTCTACGACTGATTAAACCTCCGCTTACGCTTTAATAGCGCGAAATATATCGCGCGTTAATTGTCCCAAATTGACCAAAATGGCAATCTTTAAACCCCCATACCTTTACAAAAAATGATCACAGGTAAAATATCTTTTCACATTTAAGGCCAGGACAACAATACAGGACACCTTTTGAATGATATAAAAAAAAACTCCGTCAAAAATGGCTCGTTAAAAAATCGAAATTTGTCTGAAGAAAAAACCCACCGCAAGCACAAATATTCCGTTCTCTTCGTTACGAAAGTCGGAACAACAATAAAAGTCTTTGTTAAAATCCTTAGCAATGGCTGTGCATAATAGCTGGTTATTGATTAAAAAGAACACTTTCAAAATGAACAAATTTCATCGCGACAATATTTGCGTCGCAACAATATTACGCACAAAATAACTAATCTAGAAAAAAAACACAGCTGATCATTTCAATTCCATGTAAGGATATAATCTCAAAAGCAGAACTTAAAAAATTAGAATTAAGAACTAAACAAATATAATGTCTGTACTGTTCAAAAATTTCCCATCTGATAGCCTCTTAAGCTTGCTAAACCCTAGTAAAGAAAACGACCAATGGCCTTCACACAAAATAAGCAAAAAAGCAATGAAAAAAATAATTGACAAATATTTGACACTAGGATTGGCAATGATAAACAAAGGGAACGGAGCCTGAAAGTTGAATTGAAGCAAAACTAATTACTTCCTGATTTGTAAGAAAAGTTGTTTACGCAAAACAAGTCTTGTTCCCGATTACGAGACATTTGCTCTCGCAAGCTTAACTAAGCTCCTGAAAACTACTGAAGCATATCGGTTAAGTTTCGCATAAAAGTAAATAGAAATGATAGGATTATTTGTCTCGAAAAACGTCTTTTGCATCAGACACCGAGTGTAAAAATAGCCAAAGCCAGGAGTGGATTTAGGGGGGGAGGGGGGCGGACGCCCCCCCCCCCCTCAGGGATTCGACCCCCTGCCGACCCAAAGGGTCCCCCCTTTGATACTTTTTCAGAAATCAATTTTTGGCGGACCGAACCTAAAATTTTTCTAAAGGCGCCTTTGGCGCCAATATATACTAACTTTGAGGGGGAGCGCGCGCCAAAAAAAAACTCAATTTTTTTTTTGTCAAAATTTTTCAAAAAGTGCCCAAAAACGGCTTTTTTGACTGTTTTTTCAAAAATTTGCCTGCGGCGCAGAAAATGTTGCCAAAATAGGCAAAATAGGGGCAAAACATTGCTTTGGGAGAGCTCGAAAAATCAATTTGGTCGACCTAAAAAAAAAAAGGTCGTCAAAATTTTGGAAAATTTTTCGAAAATCCGCCCCCCCCCCTCGAGAAAATCCTAGATCCGCCCCTGGCCAAAGCACTCACTATTTTTCGGAAAAATAGCCAACAGACAGGTGGAAAAGATTCGATAAACAATAAGAAACAGAAAGAAAAACGGACTTGTTTTTTTAAATAACTTCTACTTCCGAAATTCAAATTTAAAAATACATGGCCTTTTAGTGCTTTGAAATTCAAGAACAAATTGCGATTGAATTTTTTGATAAAATTACCCCAACTGAGAAAACCGCATATGTCAACCTTTTATTCCGCTGGGGAATCTGAAAAAAAACTTTCGAAATTAGAAACCGATCACATTTTTCGTGACCTTTTCAACTTTACTGTTTGATAGTGGAGTTTGCCTTCCTTTCAACAAAGAAAATGAACTGAACTTAAAATATCAAAATTCAAACCGCGAAAAAAACACATTGGAGCTGAACCAATTTTAAGACTTTTCTTAGAAGTTATTATGACCTGTTCACTACGTTCATCGATTCTTAAAAACAGTCAGCTCAGTTTGAACAACTACTTATAGATCGCTGGAAGCTTATGCTCAACAAAAAAATTACCACAATATTTATTGCAATTATCTTTCGCCGTCTCTTTGTTCGATAGTGCTTCTTCTTTTTCCTGCGTTCAACTTCACTGAAGGTTATCTCATAGCAACCAAAAGATTCTGTTAATATTTTGTCATTCTTTTTCAAGCAGCAGTTAACTCATTTAAAGCAGTGCGGACTTAGAACTACGGGCAAAACAGAGCCACTCACATTGGCACTAACTGAACTTCGCTTCAATGATGCATTTATCAAATTCTGCAGATTTTCGAAACTATTATAAATAAAAAGGTAGGTAGATCTGATATGTTGATAAATGTCTTAAGCTGTTCTTAAATATCAAAGCTTCGCTAACAAAAAATGGTTTGTTTCAGTCTCTAATTACAATAACTTTCTCACTGACAACCTTATGGGAAAGCTGTTTCAATCCAAATGCTGAAAAACTCGCATTAATTATAACATAGCTAACTAACAGTTGGAAAAGAGTAATGAACACAAAGAAACTGGCAAAAAAAACTGACTTATTTTTTCAAGAGACTTCAACTTTTGAATTTCGAAGAAAAATAGATGGCCTTAGAGCTCTTTGATTTTGTAGAACAATTTATGATGGACTCTTTTTTGCTAAAATTAACCGAATTTGAGAAAACTGGATCAATGCGTTGCAAAAAACTGACTTGTTTTTTTTTCAAGAGACTTCCAACTTTTGAATTTCGAAGAAAAACAGATGGCCTTAGAGCTCTTTGATTTTGTATAACAATTTATGATGGACTCTTTTTTGCTAATATTAACCCAATTTGAGAAAACTGGATCAATACGTTTAACTTTTATTTCGCTGGGAAATCTGATAATTAATTTCCATTTTCGAAGTTAGAAGTAGATCACATTTTTCAGACCTTTACATTTTGCTGTTCAATAGTGGAGTTTGCATTCCTTTTAACAATGGAAATGCACTGAACTCAAAAAAAAAGTCAAACAGTGAAAAATCAAAACTGAGCATGAACAAATTCTAAGACTTTTTCCTGAAAAAAAAAATCATGAAGACCTATATAAGAGTCCTCACTACGTTCATTACTCTTAAAAATTAGTGGAGAAACAAATACATATCCCGCTACTCCCAGATAATACTGTCCACAAAAGATCACAAAATACTGTCCACAAAGTTTGATTCATTAAACGGTGAATGCTTAACAAGTATGGAACCCTTGCGACTATAACGCTCCTGGTCACACAGGCTGCTATTCATATTTTAACGTCGCTTACCTCTGTCGGGATATTAGCAGAAATAAGACTGTTTTTTTCTTTAACTATTACCCCATCCCCCTCCCTCGGCCATAAGGGGGTGATATTCGTAACTAGGTACAAAATTCACACATGCTTAACCAGTGAATTATTTCTTTATAGGGGTGCCAATAAGTTAAAGTTACCCTAGGGGGGGGGGGGGGGATAGTAGAACAGATCCCTTTCTTTTGACTTCCTTAAATAAAAATAAGAACGATTTAGTAATAATTGAATTTAAACGAATTTTACAAACAAGTGCAAATATTTAATTAACTTATTTCATAAATCACTAATTACCACTTAGCCTGGATATCGTATGACCTGAGGAAAGACTGTGCCGCTCTATCGTATAGCTTTCTGTTCCTGTAAAAGGAGCAATTGATTGCACATTTCTCCGGGTCATGATCCCAGAATGAATCTGAACACGGACATAATGGTGGGATATGGATCCGTTTAGACTCCGCGAGTTCCTTTGCAGACCTTCTTAAGGCACTGCTATACCGTTCTTGTTCCTTATTAGTCTGATTAACTGATTGCTTAGAAGGTGGAACCTTTTCCAGAAGGTGAGTTTCTTCGGCTGATTGAACTATATATGTATGGGCACTTCTAGCTGTTGACGGACGTGGTTCACTTGCCTCTTCGCCTTCAGAATCACAGGAGTCCAAATCGAGTCGAAGGAATGAATTTGCATTTTCGGATCCTGCAAATTCAAAAATGATTGCAAAGCTTTCAACTGAGCACCATACCTGATTTGACGATTATTTAGCTACAAATTACTCCGAATATAGAGCAAAAAACAAATAAGTTCCAATTAAGTATGAAATATAGAACTGATAATACAATATCAATCAGTTCCAACTGGATTTTGCAACCTAACCTGGCGTTGCTGCGATGAGTTTCGACTTTTCGCGCTTCACTTTTTTCAATTCCAACAACCTGGCTCTTTCATGAGCTCTTTCGCGTTCGATTGCCATCATCGTTTTCCGGTATACATTTCGATGCGCCACTAGATTTTGAGATGACTCCTCCGTTTGTGTTACATCGTCTAAGACCCTAAAAAAGGCGTCAATTAAAAATGGGCACTTGCGCCAGGCATTAGCCCAAGCAACGCTATAAATGTATCAACACATAGTTTAAGATAAAAAAAGCCAAGCTTTACAGAGTGGTATACAACACAAACATAAAGGAACCGAAAAAACAGACAAAAGTTTTTAAGAAAAAAGTCTACAAATTTTCGTAGGACTAGACAAAATTTCAATCTAGGCAAACATGTCAATCAAAACATTTGAATAATAAAAATAGAGGCGAAGCTGAGCTTCGCACCACTTGCGATACAAAAGACGAAAGCCGCTAAATCGGAAAAAAATTTCGAACTAGATCTATCGATAAAGCTAGATTTGAAACAACCAGACAACACAATAGAAGGTGAAACTAGCATCGAAAGAAAAATTATCACGCGGTAACAAAGCCCAAAATACCTTAGCAATAACCCTCAAAACACAAACACAGCTCGTGCAACGAGGAAATATGTGGCAACTAAGCCGATGTAATATAGGCCAAAATCTATCAAGCCGAAAATAAAGAACAACTAAATCTAAAAATTTTAAAACTATTAAGAAGTAATTAAGACCCTCTCGTCCTCAAAACACACACATGCAGTACACACAAACTTTTTTCGCCCGAGAAAAGGCGCAAATGCAGTCATTAAACGATTATAATTAAGGCCGAAAACTTAACAAGCCGGAAAAAAAAGAAAGCCAAAAAAAATTGTTGTCATGAAAAACTTGAAATATAAATTCTATCAAGGTTTCTATTAAGCATTTTGGGCAATCCAGAGGTGAACATAAAAACTATGTTTCCCTTGAAACCACTCGAAATTAGGCCACCACGCCAATAAAAAGTAGGCCCGAGCCTTTAAAGCCATAAAAAGGACAAAACTTAAAATAAACAAATCGAGTTGAAAAAATCACAACCAACATAAAAAGCAAATTTTGAAAAAGACGGATATTTAAAATAAGAAACTCAACTATGCTTACTATTTGCGACCGAGAGGAGTAGGATTTGCAAAGAGGACGAAGGAAAGAGGATTTTCAAAGAGGATTTGTGAAGGTGTCCAGAAGTGAGTCCTATGGACAAAGTTGTTTAAAGGAAAAAAGTCTAGTACCCGATAGCAATACGAGCTGAACCAAACAGAAATCGACTCAGTTATATTCCGCCCTGAAGCTACAAAGAACAACGCTTGCAGCTATATTGAAAATTGCTTAGAGCACAAGAAAAATCCGTGATGCGGCAACTAAGCCGACAAAACTTCAGGCAAACGAAAGTTCGATAATGCCATTTTAACCTGAAAACCATTTCAATTTCATACATACTGAAAACAACAAGGTCCTGCCGGGACTTGAACACCAAACCTTGGGGTGTAAAAGCGACCACATTGCCTTAGATGAAGAGGAAACGAACCTGAAAGTTGTTAATTTTAAATATTAACGCAAAAATAAACAGCAAGTAGGATTTGTAAGAAAATTTGTCTACGGGAAAAAAGTCTAGTTCCCGAAGAAAAACATTTTCTCGCTTAAGTAGAAAAAATATCTATTGAATTGTTCGGTAAAATCTAACGTCCTCGATTATTGCAATAACGACATTCACGCTCTCGCGCTATTTGTAAACGTGGTTTTGGGTACAATTTTGCACGGGAGTTGAAAATCTTCACATCAAAAAAAAGTTCGCTTTAAACGATCTCACCGGGGTCTTTAGCTTTATCGTCAAACTTCGCATCCTTGCCAGTGTAGAATATCTTGTTGTGAAAGCTTTCGCCTTACAACAATTGAAGTTTCGGTTTTATCTCAGTTCCATGGCAAACTAAGTTAAGAAACGAAATGTTGCAAAGGGGCCATAAAATTTGAGGTCTCTTAGGTGTGTGTATCCACCTTTGAAGCAGTGTAGTGGCTGGTAAAAGAGAAGCATTTTCCACGGGATTATGTATGAGGAGAGTGCTTGGTAGTTTCAAGCCATATCTCAAGTGTATAACATCGGATTCAATGAGAGAAAAAACGTGCTTCTATAAAAGGAGCAGACTCAGCCAGTTCGATGCTCCTTAATGAGATGCTTAGTTAAGAGTATAATTTTTTCTGTGATGATCAGTTTTCCAGGAGTTGCGTTTTTGGAGACCGTGATGCTTTCTCCCCCGATTTTAATTTTTTGTTTAAGTATAGCTTACACGGCTGCTACTGGATCATTACGTTCGATTGGGTCAAACATGGCTCGTAACCACTCAGAGTTTTAAGAGAATAGAGAAGTCTGTTTTCATGGAGATATGCAGACCTCCTATCTAAGGGTAAAGCAAAAAGAAATCATTTTCATCAGCTATATGCTTTTTTCACCAATAAAATAGGGATTACCTGTTGTCTCACGCTTTTCTCGGTTTCATTGAATTGTTGAAATGCTTTAAGATTCGACCTTGTTTAGGAAGGTTACCTTTTCTGTACTTCATTTGTAAAGCATGGGTAGACTTTTGAGGTGAGGTTCTGGCTATTTCAGGGAGCTTTTTCGTTAGTTACTTCGTTAATCCTTCAAATGTATTATTCTCTATAGTTGTTGCGCACTATTTGGTTTCAAACCACCGATCGGAGGCCTACAAAACAATTTTGATGTTTGTTTTCTCAAAAAAGTTTAGGCAGCTATCGTAACACTTGGAAAACTTCCTATAGGTGCTTTTCTAGGTGGGCGAGGATTAAACGAAAACGAAGGCCCTTCAGATCCCGTACAACACTTCTATTATCCGCCTACCATTTCCAGAAGAAACTTTATTTTTTAAAAGCTCGATTATGGGATGATCGCCACTCCTTATAACCCAACTGCAAGACGATCCTCTCATATCAATTTTTTATTTAAAAAATAAAGATTTTTGCAAGTATCCAAGGGAAGTGAGTAGTAGAAGAGTGAGCAAGAGTGGGGGGGATTGGCTTGTATCTTAATACATCCCAATGTATTAAGATGGTAAGGTTTCAGATGGTAAGTTTCAAAAAAATTTTTGGCCCCGAATTTTTTGAGCTCGATTTTGCCGATTCTTGCGTTTCTTAGCTAGCTTCTACGGTTTAGATGTTTTGATTATTGTTTTATAGGTTTGATTCAACGAGAAAACTATCTAAAGCTATATTGAAACTAAATGACAACAGTCTTTGTTCCAATATTCAATTAAAACAATCGATTAAAACAATGTTATCTGAAATAGGAAACTATTATAAACACAATCAGAACATAGTCCAGTATGCCCCCTCAAGTCTTTTCGTAAAGGGCTGAATAGTTCAACTGCAATGTTTCGAATAGTTCTCCTGTTCTTACTTCATTCATTACTGCAGATACTCAAAAGCACTCGTGGATAAGCATTTCGTCTAATAACGCTCCGACGTCCTCAACTGACGACGAGTTGTCCGATTACCTGTGCTGTTTTCAATCACTTCCTCAACCAGTCCCGGTTTATTGTGAGGCTCCAGGCACTTGAGAGCACGGGGAATCTTACCTTGTGTGGACAACAGTGTAGTGGTTGCGTCCGACGACTCTGTCTGACTCACATGCTCCAAAGGCAAAACACCTGCCGTTGGGTTTTGTTGTTCGAAGAGATCTGGCTGATCAGGTTGCAGTGACGGCTCGCAGATGTCCAACGGATTCTTCTGTATACTCGGGTGAACCACTGATGATGGTTTGACCAAAGTTGTCAAAGGCTTTACCTGCGGCACCTGTGTCAAACTGACATCGGTTGGTCGAGGGTGCTCACTTAGGCCTCTGTGGTCTCTGTGAACAACTGGAAGGAACTTACGCAGAAATTTCCTATTTCGCAGAGTTACACGACCTGAACCATCCACTCTAACTATGTACTGGTCGAACTGACGTACCTCAATAACAATACCTGTCTTATCCCATTTGGTCGGATTTGGACCGGTTTGGTTTTGTATCCGGACATTATCGCCTACCCGTAGCGGTGGCAGATGATGGGTGTGTTCTTCAAGTCGTTCTGAAATCCGTGCATGGCGGATACGAAGGGCATCTTCACGGGCAGCCAAGGTTTCTTGCCAAACTTTGTGTGGTTGGTACTTACCAGGGTGAATGGGAAGGAAATCCCGAATTGGCCTGCCAAAAACGCACATCGAGGGAGATAACTGCGTGGTTCTATCTGGCGTATTGCGATACTGAAGCATTGCTCGATGGAAGTTGTCAGTGTCCAGGCATCCGTTCTTATCGGTATTATCAGCTATGAGTCGTTTAATAGTTTTCACGCCAATTTCTGCACGCGAGTTGCTGTGCGGGAAAGCCACGGACGAAACGCGGTGCGAAACGCCCCAACTTTTGAGGAATGTTTGAGTATCATGTGACATGAATTCCGTTCCTCCGTCTGACGACAGCTCGTCGCTTATACCGAATGTCACAAAAAGCTGCCTCAAACAAGTAATTAATCCTTTAGAACCATCGTTGGAACGCTCTACCACAGGCCAATTACTGTATCGGTCTACGACTACAAGGTAACGTTGCCCACCGTATCGGAAGTAATCCGCGACTACACATTGAAAGGGGTACAGCGGTTGGAAGGGTGGCGTTGGCGGTTGGCTCGGTTGGGATGGCGCATTTCTATTGCACGTGGCGCATCTCTCTCTCCACGCTGTAATTGCCGGAACCATTCCAGGCCAGAAGACGGAGGACTCAGCTCTTGATATCATCTGGGAAACACCTTGGTGCGCGGAATGCAAGTCGGCGAGTGCTTTCTGCCGAAGCGATGGCGGTATTACCACACGATCTTTATAAAGGATAACTCCGTCGTAGGTAGAAAGATGATCACGGTATTGAAAGAATCCTTGTATGGCATTTGGCACCTGTTGTCGCGATTTTGCGAAACCCGCTTCAATATGTTGTAGAAGGAGTTGACACGATGAGTCGCTAGCTGTGCTAAGACGCACAGATTCCCAGGTAATCTTACTAAGGACATCTCTGCTTTTGTTATCAAAGGAAGAGCAAATCTCGGTTTCTTTATTGTCGTGTACACGAATAGAAGCCAGGCACAT